TTATTTTGATACAGAGCCTCTCTTAAGTTATTGGGGCTGGCCTCAAACTTGTGATCCTTCTGCCTCAGCCTCCCATATGGCAGGGACATCAGGAGTATGCATCTTGTCTGGCTGTTTGCACATGTTTCTATCTTTCCAAAATTCCATCTGCAGGTGACCTTGACCTTGGCCTATGGATTTGTAGTCCTCCCTCCCTGCCAACAGAGATGCACCCAGGCTTCCTCTCTTGCAGAGGGGGAGCTCACTGTCTCCAGGAGGAAGCAAATGATGCAACAGGAACACAACAAGAGGGATCTCAGAGGGATCCAGGTGACCCTGGACCCTCATCTGCCAAGTTGGCTTTTGCAGCTCAGGTTCCTGTGCTGCCTCCAAGCGGTTACTGTGGGCAGTGGTGGTGGAGCACGTGTAAATAAGGTCATAGGCTTAAGCACCTTCACTTCACAGCATCTGGCCTTAGTACCTCCGCGGAGGCTCATCTCACCCACTGTTGAAATGGGTTCACATGTGCTAGGCAAGTGCTCTGCCAGGGAGCCACAAACCCAGCCCCGCGCCAGTTGTGTGTGTGTGTGTGTGTGTGTGGCTGGGGACTGAACCCAGGGCCTCGACAGGCTAGGTAAGAACTGTACCACTGGATCTGGGTTTCATGGTCTAGGCCCAGCCTGATTTCCTTCTCTTCACAACACCTCCCAGAGCTCTCCGGGTCAACTCTCCCTGACATACTAGTGCACTCCTGGGTTTTGCTTTTTGCTTTTGTTGTGGTTTGGGTCCTGGAGATGGAACCCAAGTTGCACCTGTGCTGAGCTCCTGCTCTGTGTCGCTTGGCAGAGGGGAAACACCGAGTGTGTGACTACCCCTTTCTCCAACTCCACCCACGCCGAAGCCTCAACAGTGGGTCCAAGTGAGCCTCCACGGAGGTATTTATACCCGACGCCAGGGGACTGTGGGGACTTAGCAGCCCGTTCCAAGACCAGCTGTTGGGTGACATCAACGACCTCTCCAGCCACCTCTCCACTGAAAAGGCCTGGAGCAACCCAGAGCTAGGGCCTAGGGTAGCAGGGCCCAGGGGCAGCCATCCATGTGAGCTGGCCTGTAGAGGACAGCAGCAGTGACGGTGACAAGTGCCTGAGGTAGCGCGTCTGTCACTGGAGCCTGCGCTGGCTACTACACCAGGTGTCACCTCATCACACGGCAAGGACTTGGAAGTGGGAAGCCCAGTGCCTTCTTGGTGAGAGTTGGAGGAGTAGAGAAGTTTAAGATGTGGGTTTGAACTTGGAAGCTGGGGCTGGTTCAGGGACCTCACTTCTCCGAATGTGGGTTGTCAAGAGCAAATGGAAATGAACGGCGCCAATTTGTCACAGATTTCAAAACAGAACTCCTGGGGGGTGTGCCATGGGCACTCGGGGAGCGCTGGCGAGGTGACCCTGACCGGGCCCTCCGGAGCCACCAACGTCACCTTCCTCCACTCTTCCAGCCCCACCCCCCTCTCTCTGTGCCGGCACCGGCCAAGCCTCTTCTGTCCCTTCACTGTCCTGACCTCGGTCTGGACTAGTTTTCCCAAACTTCTCCTGGCCGGGACTTTGTCTTTCAGCTCTGCTCGTTGCCAAAACTGTCCACGGGGCGATGCTTCCCGCGCTGCGGCCAGGCGGGTGGAGGCGCGGGCGGTGGAGGGCTGGACCCGGTGCGGGAAGGCCAGGGGGTTCGCAGGTGCGGCTCCTCCAGTCCCTCGGCCGGCCGGGGCCTGGCCCGGGCGGGGCTCTCTGCCGGCCTGGCTATCGCTGCCCTCTGCTGGCTGCCCTGGGGGTTGCAGGCAGCCGCCGGCTCCGGTTTAGAAGGAATCGGGTCTTTCGGAAAGAGTCATTCAGTCTTCCTGCACTGAAAAAAAATAAAATAAAAAATAAATTAAAAAAATAAAAATAAAATAAAAATTTTAAAAATTCATTTTTCTTTCTTTCTTTTCTTTTTTTTTTTTGACTCAGTGACACTCAACCAATGAGCCACATCCCCAGACCTATTTTGTGTTTTATTTAGAGACAGGGTCTCACTGAGTTGCTTAGTGCCCAGCTTATTGCGCAGGCTGGCTTTGAACTCGCGGTCCTCCTGAGCCGCTGGGATGACGGGCGTGCGCACCGCACCGCGCCAAAATATTTCTTAAGCCCCTACTCATACAACACACAAAAAAGACCAAGCCTATGTGTGTCCCGGTGGGAAGAAGTGATAGAGACCAGTAATAAACAAAATAATTAGTCAACAAAAAAAACACAGACAAGAATCCAGCAGGGAAGGGAACAGAGAGTATGGTGGGGACTTTCCTATTGCACAACTGGGGCCTCCTGTCAGGCAAGTGCTCTACCCCTGAGATGCACCCCCACACCTTTCCATTTTATTTTGAGACAGGGTCTTGTGGTTGTCCGATCTGGCCCCAGACTTAGTCTCCTGCCTCAGCCTCTTGAGTTGCTGGGATGACAGCGTGTGCCACCACACCTGTCCTGCACAGTGCCTCCCTGGACTTCAGAGGTGGGAAATACCATGTGTGGGTCACTCCCCTGGTGTCTCCCTCACCACCTGCCGAGTGGGTTGGAGGAGGGTGAGGCCCTCTGGCTGCCTGCTGGTGCTCTGGTGAGCTGTCCTTCAAAGCCCTCTGCTGAGCAGGCTCCAACTGCATCCCTGCCACCCTCCCACTTCACTCCCCTCCAGCTCTCCCTCTCCACATGCCTAGAATGGCCCCAAGTCTGTGTGACACCTGACACTCCTTGGCCTTCACTCTTCTCCTTCTTTCAAGAATGTGCCTCATCCTTTGGCTCTTACACCTGTATCATGGAATGGCATTGTGAGGGGAAAATACTAGGAATAACCTCTCTGTCCACTGATAAGTATCTAAGAAAAGGATGATATTGCCACTAAAAACAGAAAACCAGAGCTGAGTGCAGTGGCACACGCCTATATGCCCAGTGACTTGGGAGGTTGTGGCAGGAGGATCCCAAGTTGGAGGCCAGCCTCAGCAACTTATTGAGACCCTGTCTCAAAATAAAATAAAAAGAGCTGGGGCTGGGTGTAGTGGTACATGCTTGTATTCCTGCAGCTCTTGGGAGGCTGAGGCAGGAGGATTGAAAGTTCAAGGCCAGCTTCTACAATTTAGCAAGGCTTTAAGCAATTTAACAAGATCCTCTCTCTAAATCAAATATTAAAAGGTTTGGGGATGAGGCTCAGTGTTTAAGCACCCCCGGGTTCAATCCTCCCCCAAAAAAGCTGGAGATGTAGCTCCATGGTAGAGTTCCTGCCTAGCATGGCCATTGCACTGCAAAAGATAACAAGAAAAACCAAAAAACCACAAAGCATTATAAGCCATTGCACACAGATATGGATATGAGATTTCTTTTCTCTCTTTTGTGGTACTGAACTGAGAGGTGCTGCATTACAGAACTCCATAGCCATTTTTTTGGTTTGAGACAGCATCTTGGTAAGCTGCCCAGGCTGGCCTGGAGCTTGGGACCCTCCTCCTGAGTTGTTTGGTTACAGGCGTGCACCACCACGCTGGACTTAATTTTATTTTTCTTTTTTTGGTACTGAGGATTGAACCCTGGGGCACTTAACCACTGAGCGACCTTACCAGCTCTTTTTATTTTTTATTTTGAGGCAGGATTTTGCTAAGTCGCTTAGGGCATTGCCAAATTGCTGATGTTGGTTTCCAAATCATGATGCTCCTGCCTCAACCTCTCCAGTTGCTGGGGTTACAGATGTGTGCCAACACACCTAGCCCGTTTAATTTTTTTTTTTTTAAAGACAAAGAGTCTTGTTATGTTGTCCAATCTGGCTCCAATCTCTTGGGTTCAAACCATCCTCCTGTCTCAGCCTCTGGAGCTGCTGGGACTACAGGCATACACCATTGTGCCTGATTTGTCTTTATATTTAAAGGGGCTAGTTTGTAGTTGAACCAGTCTTTATAAAATCCATTCTTATGTGTTTTTTTTAATCTTTATTTTATTTTTATGTGGTGCTGAGGGTCAAATCCAGTGCCCCACGCAGGCTAGGTGAGTAGCACTGAGGCCCAGTCCAGCCCCCATTCTAATGGGTCTTGATTTATTTTTTTTAAATGTGGCTGTGATCTGATCAGGTGTCCTGCACACTAAGCAGGTGCTCTGTCATCGAGCAGCGATCCAGCCATGGACTTTTCGTTTTATTCTGCTCTTTGGTTTAACTGTATTCTCGATATAATTAGTCATATTTGTGCTGCATCTATATTATCCGAGTTTGTGGCTGGCTCTTCTACTTCCCTAAAGGGGTATCCCTAGGGCGGGCACTGGGTGTATCTTATTTCCTGTTGCGTCCGGTGCCCCTTCCTATGCCTGGCACACAATGGGTCCTCGATGGATCTGTATTGAGTGAGTTACTTGCGTTGAAGCTGCAGCTCCGGCCTCAGTTTCTTCCTGTGGGCACGTTAGTCCTGTCCTGACCTATCACAGTAGTTTGTGAGGCTGCAGGGGACACAGGATTGGTTCGCAGCATGGAACTTGGAGGTTCTCAGGAAGCGTCATCTCTCAGATACAGAGAAGGCGGAGCTAGGTTCTTTTCCAGGAACTGGACGGTGGCACTCCACGTGGGCGCCCGGCCCACCAAGGCTCCGCCCACCACAGATCACGCCCATATCTGTCACTTAGCCCAGGGGCGGGACGAGGCGGACCCCCATTTCGGGGGCGTGGCTAGACACAGAACAAGGAAGTGCCTGGAGTTACGTACGACACTGACCAATGAGAGGGCAGAGCCTGACCCTGAGGGGGCGGAACCATGCGACCGAAAAGGGCAGTTTCGCATGGCGATTGGGCGGACTGTCGTCGTCAGGGAAACGGAGGCGAAGGGGCGGGGCCTAGGCGGGGCGGGGCTTCCTCAGACGGCCCGGCTGGGACCCGGCGGCCGCCGTCAGCTGACCTGCCGCCATCTTGTCCGCCATTTGCCAGCGGCTAGGCTCCGGAGCGCGGGCCTTTGGGCAGGGGGTCGTCGCCGCCGTCCCTGTTCACCGACCGCGCCGCCGCCCTGGCCTGGGCACCTGTCCCACCGCGGCGGCCGGCAGCGCAGTGCTCCGCGGGCGGCAGGCGCGGTTCCCGGGCCCCTGCACGGTGCCGGGCCGCGGACCTTCGGGGGCCAGAGCCCGCGGGCCGCCGCGATGGCCCTCAAGATGGTCAAGGGCAGCATCGACCGCATGTTCGACAAGAACCTGCAGGACCTGGTCCGCGGCATCCGCAACCACAAGGAGGACGAGGTGAGCCGGCACAAGCGGGGTGCCCGGCCTGGTCACCGTCCCGGCTCTGCCCGCCCTGCGCACCCGCCCGGCTCAGCCTGCAGCCGGTGCCCGGGGCCACGCTCCGAGCTCCGGCCCCGCCTGTCCAGGGGCAGCGACGCCGCACGTCCTCTCCCTGTCCAGCCTCAGTGTACCCCTGTGCTGCCGTCTGCGGACCACCTGGGGCAGCAGTGTTCCCGAGGCGGCGGCCCGGGCCCTGCCGCAGGGTGGCCAGCCTCCCGGAGCCTCAGTGCGCCCCTCGGGGAGATTCTGCCCCCTCCCCTCGGTCATTGCACAGATACCTCTTGAGTTTCCCTACACAGGCGAAGTTGTGGGGCTTGGTGTCTGCGCCCAGGAACCCTGGGGACTCAGGAGATCCCTGATTCTCATGGGGACTCTCCTTGGAGCCGGAGGCAGGGGATCCGAGGGTGCCCCTTGGAGAAATTCCTGGATGGGGAACCGTGTCCAGGTTGCTCCCCGCGGCCAGGCTGGGGACACTGCCAGGTGTCAGGGCCTTGTCTCTGGGCCCCAGCTCCTAGGGCTGTCCCTTCAGCCCCCATAAGGGAGCAGCCAAGAAAACGCTGGAGTGGGAAAGCCAGCTTCAAACAGGAACCCAACCCAGGGGTGGAAATGGTCTCCCAGAAGTGAAATTGTAACTGGGCATCATTTCCTTCCCTCCCCTCCCTTCCCCCAACCTGTGACCTAGATTAGGGAAGAACAGAAACATTGAGCGGCCACCAAGCGGCTGGCTTCATTGAGGAATGCCCAAATAGGAGGGTTAGGCCCTTTAAGCCCAGGTGCCAGATATGAGCTGGTCTGCTCACTGGCCTGTGCCAGAAGGAGCAGAAAGTCAGGAACTCGCTCCAGGTGCCCTCAGCCAGGCTCCTGGCTGGGAACCTGAGGTCTTGCGCCTTGTCGCCCTTTCCCAGAAGCTTGTCACCTGCTGGGCCAGGAGGCTGGTTTCTTCTTAACTGTACGCCATCCTGCCTCTCTGGCTGCACCTTGCTCTGCATCCCCAGCGCCTGGCTGCTTGGTGGCTGTGTGAGCAACTTGGATGCCGTCCTCAGTTCTGTTGGAGCTGAAGGAGTAGCTGTTTGGCCTGCGGTGTAGATAATGAGTGTGGCTAGCCAGATTCAAAGTGTGTTCGCACCCTCAGGTGGCTTTTTCTGCCCCGGTAAGATCTCCTGGCTCCTGTCCCTCCATCCCATTCTGTGGTTGTCCCTGGTCAGCTTGTTTGGCAACCCTGAGGGTGGACCACACACTCTCTAATGAGGGGAGTGGTGCCCCCCGCCCTGGTGCTGGGGATTGAACCTAGGAGTGCTCTGCCACTGAGCTACACCCCAGCCTTTTTATTTCTTATTTTTAGACAGGGCCTCGCGTAGTTGACTGGCCTGGCCTCTTGTGTAGTTGGAATGACAGGCATGTGCCACTGTTTGGACGGTATTCTATCATTTTTTGAAATGGAATCTTGCTCTGTTGCCTAGGCTGGTCTTTTTTGTTAGCTTGTTTTTTGGTGCTGGGGATTGAACCTAGGTGTGCTCTACCACCAAGTCACCTCCTCAGTCCTTTTTAATTTTGTTTTGACACAGGGTCTTGGTAAATAGCTGAGGGTCTCACTAAATTGCTAAGGCTGGCTTCAGACCTAGTGACCCTCCTCCCCAGCTTCCCGTTGCTGGGATTATGTTCGACACAGGGCTCCAGGCTGGTCTTAGACTTGCAATCCTTTGGGCTCAGCCTCTGGACTAACTAGGATTACAGGTGTGGGCCACTGCACCAGAAAGGGGCCTGGTTTTTTTTTGGTGGTGGTGGTACAGGGAATGGAACTCAGGGACACTCAGCCACTGAGCTGCATCCCTAGCCCTATTTTTATTTAGAGACAGGGTCTCACTGAGTTGCTTTTTGATAAGGCTGTTTTTTTTTTTTTTTTTTTTAGTTTGATAGCATGCCTTTATTTTGTTTATTTATTATTTTTTTGGTAGTTGTAGATGGGTAGAATGCCTTTATTTTGTTCATTTTTATGTGTCGCTGAGGATTGAACCCAGGGCCTCATCCATGCTCGGCAAGCGCTCTGCCACTGAGCTTCAGTCCAGGCCTGAGGCTGGCTTTGAACTTGTGATCCTTCTATTTCAGCCTCCCCAGCCCCTGGGATTACAGGTGGTGCCACTGTGCCTGGCGTGGGCCTGGTTTTGAGGGAGGTGTGCCTTCTTTCCCCAGTAGCCTTCAGCCCCTATGTTGTGGGTCAGTCCCAAAGTCTTGCCCACACAAAGCACACACTTTACCACTCAGCTGGACCCTCAGTTTGGAGGTGTGTTTCTTCATTTAGAGTTGGTAGGAACTGATAGTGCCTTTTCCACAGACAGGGTCCTCATCAAATGGGACACCGGTGGTGGACGTGATTTTATTTATTTATTTAGTTGCCAGGGATTGAACCCAGAGGCATTCAACCACTGAGCCACATCCTCAGCCCTTTTTTGTATTTTATGAAGAGATAGGGTCTCACCTAGTTGCTTAGGGTTTTGCTAAATTGAGGCTGGCTTTGAACTTGTGATCCTCCTGCCTCAGCCTTCTGAGTTGCTGGGATACAGGTGTGGCCATCGCGCCTGGCTGGATCTGCTTTTAAAGGATGCAGGGCCCGGCTGGGCGGGATGTTCTCAGAGTCCCAGGTTTCTGTGTGCCTCTGTTGACTGGTTGACGTGTTGGATGATCCTGGCAGACCTGTGGAGTCTGGCTCCTGGCTCTTCAGAGGTCCATCCTCGTGGTCTCAAGGGCATTCCTCCAGGGCTCACAGATGCTGGTGCCACAGCCCTGGGCAGCCGCAGTGCCTGTTCCCCCTTTAAAAAGTGGCTTCCTCCGCCGGAGGCTGGGGCTCATGGTAGAGTGCTCACCTAGCATGTGTGAGGCACTGGGTTTGATCCTCAGCTCCACATAAAAACAGATAAATAAAATAAAGGCCTTGTGAAAAAAATTCTTAAAACAAAAACAAAAAAAACGCGGCCTCCTCCTCCACTGGTGCTTTTCTGTTGCGGTTGCCCCTGAGCAAAGACCCCGAGTGTGTGTCTTCCCAACAGAGCTTCCTTTTGGTGGTAGGTGTTGGCTCCGGCAGGCGGGCAGCACCTCTTCTAGGCAGCAGCTGTGTGATCTGGTTTGTGCGACACGGGGTTCCACGCAGAGCTGGGCATTGCTGGTGATTGGGGACAGGTCTGCCCGCCCCTGCCCGCCAGCCCTCCGCCCCTGCAGCTTGCTGCAGTGTGCAGGCAGACCCGCCGCACGGCAAGCCCCCCTGATGGGCAGCTTAGTGGGGTCAGGCAGTGCCATTTGCTCTGCCTGACAGTCTCAGGCTGGTGGACCAGGTCCTCCGGTGTCCACCCAGGTCAGCGAGGGCGTGTGTTGATCAGGGCCAGTGCCTGTCACTCCGTGGCCTTGTGCCTGGATCTTGCAGGCTTCCAGCACCTTCCCCTGCCTGGGCGTGGTCTCTTCTCTAGCCCCTTTGGGTGGCACCCAGGTGCATCTCCTAGGCCTCCACCCCAGAGGGAGGTGCTGGACCCTGGCTTGTCTGTGCCTGGTGTACGGGAGTCCGTGCCGCCCATGTGCTCCAGCCAGCGATTGAGTGCCCAGCAACCCTGGGCAGGCCTCTGGGACCCCAGGCCACCCCGGCTTTGTTGTATTTCCCTGTGACCACAGGTGCAGCCCCAGGGGATGCTTTTGTCCCAACAAAGTCCAGGCATGGACAGCCCATGTTGGGGCTGCTGCCAGGGCCCTGGATGGAGCTTTTTCTTCACGTCCACTGGCCCTACTCCCCAGTGGGCTACCAGCGACTGTCACCCTGGGTAGAGGGCACACCCGCTCTCGTGGTGTGGCCCTGTGGTGTGCCTGAGCCTGCGCGTCTGCCCCTCACCCTCGTGGGTCTCTCCTGTCACAAACCTCTAGGCCTCTTGGTGTCTCCGTTGTCCAGCTTCTTTGCTTAGCCCGGGACTTGAGCCTCCCCCTTTCTCCCACCCGCCTCCTGGCGCAGGTGCTGCCTGTTGTTCGGGCCCTGGGCTGGGACTGGCTCTGCTCACCCACTGGGCCCTCTGCCTTGCCGGGCCCTCCAGGCAGGGCCTCTTTCCCCGAGGCCCCAGGCGTCGGGCTGCCTGTCTGCCTTGAAGGTGGGCCCACCTCTGTCTCCTGGCTTCTGTGCTGCAGCCTGGAAGCCATAGCCCCACAGTATGGGTCTTTCCCGGCCCTGGGTCACTAGGTGACCTGACTGTGGTCAGCTGAATGCTAGTCCCCAGAGGGAGCCTCGTGCTGATCCTTGGACATGTAGGTACCTTGCCTCTGGATGCAAGATAGGATCAGGGAAGGACCTTGAGCTGGGTCACCCTGGCCATCTGGGGCCCAGGGTCCCCACAGGGTCCTTAGGAGGGGAGACGGGTGGGCGGAGTTAGAGAGCCTGGAGGATGCTGTGTGCTGGGCCTGGTGCTGGAGGAGGGGCTCGACCCAAGGGCTGAGGGGCCTCTGGGGACTCAGGAGGGCCCAGCCCTGCCACACCTGGATCCACCGCGGCCTCCTCCGGAGTCGACACTGAGCAGGTGAGAGCCGCTGTGTCTACAGTGACCGTCTGGCGGAGTGCGTCAACCTGACTCTCAGGTGGACACGGCAAGGAAGGCCATCTCGGGGGGTCACAGAGCTCCGGCACCGCAGTCAGGACAAGGGAGTCACCACGTTTCCGGGACGCCAGAGCTCCCAGGCCAGGAGTCGAGGGGACGGGAGTGTGTGTGCTGGCCCCAGCTGGCCATGCTGCTGTGGGGCATCTGGTGTCACCACTGCCTACAAACGGTGCTGTCCTGTACAGGTGGTGCTAGCCATGTGAGCAGGTTCAAGCGTTCTAGTCGCCATCTTTTTAAAACACAGAAGCGGGCTGGGTGCAGCTCAGTGCTGGAGCGCTGGCCTGGCATGTGCGGGGACCTGGCTTGATCAGCCTGCAGGACAGACACAAGCAGCAG